GGAAATTGTGCTTTCCGAAGGCCGTTTGGCCAAGCTCTTGAAATTGACCACCATGGGTGTGTCCGACTATGACCGGAAGGGGTGGATTGACACCCAAACTACGGGATACAAGGACTATCTCGGGTACTTACTCGGGAAAGAGGATGGGTTCACCTCGGCCACCCGACCAAACCGGAAATGGCTATCGGCGGAGCAAAAGATATTGGTTATGATTGTAACCGATAGCCTCTTGCCCACCAATAACAAGAGCAAGGATGTGGGAAGCTTGGAGTGCACCTTCGCGTATCTCCTAAAACATAAAATCAAGTTCAACCTGCCGACACTCATGCTAAAGCACATAGAGTTCTACAAAACAAACAACCGGCTTAGCCTACCTTACGGGATGATCCTAAGTTGGATCATGGAGAAAAAGGGGGTAGACCTAAGCCACACCGAGGTCAAAACCGCCAATGGCATGGTTTTCAATGCCCAAAACCTCCGCCGCAACGACATCTACTTCATCGAAGGAGGACACTATCTCACCCTCGAAGAAATTTGCCAAAAACCCGATGAGGAACGTAGGGAATTGGTTGATCGGTTGGACATCTCCAACAAAAAGCTCAAGCGGGCCATGCAAGATTGCGGAGGCACGGAAGAAAATGAAGGACAAGAGGAGGAAGACGGGCCTAACCCGTCAGTGCACCCACAGCCAGGAGGGAACCCGAGGGGGTAAGACGAGGGTTCGGTCAACGAACGCATACTCGCACAGCTCGATCGACAGAATCAAATCATGGAAGAAGGGTTCTCATCCCTGATCCGCACCACACACGCACTCGATCAAAGGGTAGCAGCGATCGAGGCCGCCATGGGCACTCGCGGTGCACCCAGTTCCAGCGCAGGAAACCGAGGTACAACCGAAAACTTCCCTATCACAACACCATCAAAAGTTCAGCCTACCCCAAGCCAAGACAAACGTAAGGCCGCAACCCTAATCAGGAGGCCGAGCTATGAGGTGTCTAGGGGTGAAAGGATGGACTATAACACCGGGCTTCGGGGACGAAGCCCCTTGTAAAGGGGGGGAGAGTGTAACACCCCGTGTTACGGCCCCTAAAACCATTTAATTAATCAAACAATAAGCCCAAGAGAAGGAATAAATCATAATGATTAATTAGGGAAAAAGGCCCACCATAGTCCATGGGCCCTCATATATAAACCCAACCCCTAAACCCAATCCTTAGTTCCGAAAGGAATAGAATTAGCAAGCCTATAATATTAGTTCCTAGTTAGGACTCCTAAATATATAAATAAGGGACTTAGGAGAAACCTAGAACTTCCCACACGCCTAAACGCCCAACATCCCCAGGAGAACTCCAAGAATTCCCCTAGAAGAAAGCAAGAAACCTTAAAGAAAGACCCTTCATAGCCAAGGAACTAATTAAGGCTAAGAGGTAACCCATGTCTCAACAAAACCTATTTTCATAGCTATGATTTCCCCCTTAGGGTTTCCCCATAGTATTGTGTATTAATGACTTGTGATAATTATTGTTGATGATTGATGTGATGATCCCTTGGGGGATCTTGATAATCTTGATATGGAGAGATTCTTGATAATTATGATACTCTTGATAATTATATGGAGTTCTTGATGATTATGTGTTGTTCTTGATAATGGTGTGATGTTCTTGATGTTTATGTGTTATTCTTACCGAATCTTGCAATTAGAAGACGAACCGTATTCTTGTTGATATAAAAGTGATTAGAACCCTAGGTTGTATCGTATGATCTTATTCTTCGATTATCGGGTGGGGAAATCGCATGTTTGGGTGTTGATTATATTTAGAAAAGCATGATAGGTTATGTGCCGTTCGTTTCTTGTATTTGATTCGTTAATTGTCTACGGGTTGTCGTTAATTGTGTTGTAAAGTGTCTAAACATGGTTTCGGGTTCCATAACGGTTCCCGGGGCGTAAAGTGTGTGAAAAGAGTCAGTGGGGGGTAGGGGACCCGCCACCTACCCATAGCCGTAAACCACCGCCTGGCAGCGGGTGGCCGGCGGGCGGGCAGCTGCCCGCCGGCGACCCGCTGCCCGGAACAGTAGAAACCGGCGGGCAGCCGGCGGGTGGCCCACCACCCACCGGCTACCTACTGGAAATTCGTCCCACTTGGGACCCCGGCTTCCCCGTTTGACGTTCCCCGTTCCCCGTGGTGTCCCAACGGACCCCGTTTATCGTGCCTATGTCTAGTTTGATGTTTCGGGTACCGTTCATATGTTTATGAGTCTATTATGTTGCATGCTAGTTGAATTGGTACCCCGTTGACCTAGGTGGAAGAAGTATGAACCCCTTAGGACTATTCTTAGTAAGTGATGGATCACGCATAGGTTTTGTTATACGTTTTCCCCCCTTCCTAATGTGTAATGTGGGTTGCATGTGCTTGCTATGTGCTATGTGTGTGTTACCCCAATTCGGTTGCGATCGGATTGGTTATCCTGAGCTGCGGTTCAGAAGCTGGCTGCGGTCAGATTGATACTCTTGGGCTGCGGTCCACCGTTTGGTTGCGATCAAACGTTTCTATACGAGCTGCGGTTCGTCCTTTTTCCTGGCTGCGGTCAGATGACATTCTCTTGGGCTGCGGTCCACTGTTTGGTTGCGATCAAACACTATGATGAGCTGCGGTTCATCGGTCGGTTGCGATCGACCCCTCCGTGTTACGATACGGGGCAGGGTGCTGCGGGGCCGTGTCAGAGCTATATACGCTGACCCTCATGTATGGGCATGCGATTGGTCCTGTGGCGCCAACAAAGTGTGCTATGTGCTGTGATATGGACGAGTGGTGATCATGAGTGTCTTGGGGGATGTGACTATGGGATTTATGTTGGGGATTTATGTTGGGGATTGTTTATGTTGGGTTGTGATTATTGTTTATGCTTTGCCTTATTTGCCTTATTTGTTGTGAACTGCATATGCTTGTTATAACTGTTGCTTTTGTCCGGCCTTATCTGTCGAGTCATTCCCGGTTTTAAAGCTAGAGTTCGTAGGATATATCTTCATGCTCAAAATGGTTTTCGTATATCTATATATATCGCTATATGTATTGTATTTCGACGCGTTGGAGTGGGTTACCAGCATCTCTCGCTGAACAGATATATTTGGCTTTCAGGCACAGAGGACTAGAGCACTGGAGCGCGCTAGAACTAGAGCGTAGAAGTAGAGTAGTTTCCCTTTCGGCCTGCGTGCCATATTATGCATTGTGTTTCAATGGATATTAGCTAGACAGCCTGTGCACCTGGGTTCTCTAGCCCAGGTGTGGCATAGCACCCCGTACACTTATGATATACCTTGGGATGTAATGAGATATTACCTTTATTATATAAGCTTAAAATGTCTTGAAAATCTGGGGTGTTACATTCACACTGTTTCAGATGGATGTTAAGACAGCGTTTTTGAATGGGTACTTGCATGAGGATATCTATGTGGCTCAACCGAAAGGATTTGAAGATCTAGATCATCCATCTCATGTCTACAAGCTCAAAAAAGCCCTCTATGGTCTCAAGCAAGCACCAAGGGCATGGTTTGAACGTCTGACACAGTATCTGCTACATCATGGGTATAAGCGAGGAAATGTTGACAAAACTCTGTTCGTAAAAACCACTGGGAGTCATGTTACTATTGCTCAGATCTATGTGGATGACATTGTCTTTGGCTCTACTTTACAGAAGTATACTAATGATCTTGTAAAGGTGATGAAGGAAGAATTTGAAATGTCTATGGTTGGCCAACTGACTTATTTTCTAGGGCTGCAAGGGCTGCAAGTCAAACAAAGCTTAGAAGGGTACTTTATCTCACAGGAAAAATATGCTAAGAATTTGGTCAAAAAGTTTGATCTGGATTCATGTAAACCACCCAGGACACCTATTTCTACCTCCACGAATGTATCAAAAGATGATACTTGTGCATCAGTGGATAACACAGTCTACCGGAGTCTGATAGGGAGTCTACTGTATCTAACTACTAGTCGACCAGACATAATGTTCAGTGTTGGAATATGTGCAAGGTATCAATCTGATCCAAAAGAATCACACCTGATAGCTGCTAAACGGATTTTGAAATATATAAAGGGAACAATTCAATACGGCCTTTGGTACTCCAAGGACAGTGAACTGAGTCTGATTGCATACTGTGATGCTGACTGGGCAGGAAATATTGATGACCGAAAACGTACTTCTGGAGGATGCTTCTTTGTTGGTAAGAACTTGGTATCATGGCTGAGTAAAAAATAGAATTCAATTTCCTTGAGTACTGCGGAGGAAGAATACATAGCCGCTGGTGGATGCTGTACTCAGTTAGTATGGATGAAACAGATGCTTTTAGACTATGGTCTTACTCAAGGAATTATGACACTCTACTGTGATAATGTCAGTGCAATCAATATCTCGAAGAATCCAGTTCAACATTCCAGAACGAAGCATATTGATATAAGGCATCACTACATCATAGACTTGGTAGAGTCTAAGGAGATTGAGTTGGAATACATTCAAACAGATAAGCAATTGACTGACATTCTGACTAAGCCCCTAGATGCAAATCAGTTTGAGATTCTCAGGTCTGCTCTGGGAATCTGCATGATTGATTAATAAAGCAGTAAGCTACAGAAGGAGAGTATATGGTATTAAGTTTACAGGTCAATTTCCAGCTTTGACTTCCTTTTAAAACTCTCTTCTGTTTTGTTAAGAGAATATCTTAACCTAAATTACCATAAAGTAATTAGCCTTTTTCAAAATTCAAATCTTCCTCGCATCTGTTTCTTGCCTAAAAAGGAGGTATACCATTGCGTCAATCACATCGGCTCTGCATGTAATATGACAAGCTGCATTTATTAGGGTACTTCACCCTTGGGACTATATTTGTTTATCGGGTCAGGCTTGTAAGGAAGAAGAAGTTCAAAATATCTTTGCTCACCGATTAGTCTCTCTCTGCTCTTCTACCTAAGGTTTCTTCCTCTGCTCTCTCAAATTTTATACCAATGGCGGATGCTGTATGTAACATCATCATCAAGCTTGGGAGAAAGATCCATTCACCAGAAACAGCCACCAAGCATGTCAAAACACTGCTCCAGTTAGCTATGAAGAAGAAGTTGAAGCTTGATCCCCTTCTACGCGATGAAATCATGGTCACCGTGCTATCCGATTATCCAGAGTTCTACGCTGACTGGTCCTATGATGACACTAGTGAGCTCTTGTTGCTGGCCTCCGAAGCGAGTGATGAGATTAGTCCAGTATCTATTCCAGAGCCCTCAGATGGAAATCGTTCTGGGGCGTTTCTTCACTACTTTGCACAGAGGGCTCTTGAGTCAGAAGAGATCTCCCGTCGTCGAGCAGCTGCACAACCCCTATACCTACAGGCTGCCGAGGATGAAACTAGACACCGCCTTGAGATTCTCCGTAACAGGTCAAATACTTCTGATTCCCCTTTTGAAATCTCTCCTGATAAGCCTGATGATTTAGCCTCTGATGCTATTCCGTCTGCTGTGCCAACTGTTTCTGATAATGTGGTTGTGTTAATATCTGTGAAATTCTCTGTGTCTGATGATCCCTCATGCATCCCCTCTACGAAGCCTGAACCTTTGAAGGAAGTTGTTGATGTTGTGTCTGATGAGAAAGATAAACCGTCTGAGCAGTCCAACAATCTGAGTTTGGTTGTTTACTCTGCTGATCAAGTTGCTCTGCCCCCTTCTGAAATTGCTGCATCTCCAAAAGAACTCTGTCCATCTGAAAATCCCACCGGTTTACCCACAGAAATTGAGACTGCTGATCCCTCAAGGTCACAAGTTGAGGGTGTTGTTCAAAAAGAACCATATCGTGTGATTCATCCTTCTGAGTCATCTAGTGAAGACGATAAAATTCTTGTTGAAGTCTATGGCTCGCAAGCTCCTGTGTCTAAGCCCCCAACTGTGTTGAAGCTACTGCACATCCTGATTCAACCACCTTCAAGATTCGTGAAATTACAAATCTGCTTGGAAGTTCCTCTGCTCATGTTTCTGATTCCAGCCACTCTATGTCTCCAAGCCCTTCTGCTCATTCCCCATCCAAAGAGACAAGAAAATCCAAACGGAAGAGTATCCCTATGAAAGTGGTTGTGGAATCTGGTGATGACAATCTTGATGTGGTTCAACCTAAGAAGAAGAGAAAGTCTGATGAGTCTGTCCATACTGAATCTAATCCTCCTGTCCAACAAGTGTTCAAGACCCTGCGATCATCTGTCAAGCAAAAAGCTCTTGCTGTGGTTCCTACATCTTCTACCCGGAAGGGGAAACCAATTACTCGCTCCAGAGGACGAAGTGTTACACCTGAGGTTCAACCTACTGATGCAAATCCTGATACATCCATCTATAGACCTCAGTTTGTCTCCTCTGCTGCTCAAGGAAAATGGTCCACGATGATCCGGAGAGATCTTATTGTTCAGAGGTCTGTTGATGAACACTAGATGAATTCTGTTTGCGACATCTTGCCATTGCTGAGTGAAGTGGGCCTGTTGAAGAATGTTACCTCCATTTGCCTTTATTCGAAGCTCCTGACTTATGAATTCTACTGTAATCTTAATGAGGAGATTGACATCCTAACTGGGCCACGACCCATGCAAATCTTCATTCGAGATAAATGGTATGTCTTCGGCCCTGACATGATAAATGAATCTTATGGTTTGAAAGCAGTGCACGAAGAAGCAATCACGGACTGGAATTTGGTGGCAAAGACCGTCACAGGTGGACAAACTGATACATGGCCTACTGGTGAAAAGGATTATCTACCTAGCTCACAGCTCACCTCCAAATATGTCATCTTGCATCGTCTTGCTCTTCACAACTGGCTTCCATCGGCTCATTTTCATACGGTTGGCAAGCAATTGACAGGTCTCTTGTTCCGGATTGGAACAAAAATGGCTATTGATTTGGGGGCCTGGATTTATTATCATATTCTCACCTTGATCCATCCTCGAGAGCAGAAGGTAAGGTTGCCCTTCCCTAATCTGATATTTGGAGTTCTAACAACACAGGGCCTTGAGCCAATGCCTAGTGAGGTGATCAGTCCGACTCTGCTGTATACTGTTAATCCTCATCTTCTAACTGGAGGTCACATCCGAGATGTTACGCCGGTGATTGCTCCTTCCACGACTGATGCTGATACAGTGGCTGATGATTCGCCACATGCGAAAGATGTCCAACTCTCTCTTCGTCTAAAGGCCCGTGTATCTGAACTTGAGACTGTTCATGGTATCATTTCCAAGCAGCTGACAGGAGCCCGTACTGAGTTGGCTACCATTCTTCTCCGCTTAAGCTTAACTGAATCGACTGCTGCTGATGCTGCTAAGTCTGATAGTGAGAACCACTCCGATGCTTGACCGTGCTTTGACTATCATTGGCAAAAAGGGGGAGTGTGGAACTCAGGGGGAGTATTTTTTGAAGTTTTTTGTACCTTCTGGCCCTGTCTGGGCGACTGATTGTGATGGCACCACTACGAAGAATGTTGTTTTGTTCCAGCATGACTTATATGCTGTGTTTTTTTAATTATGTTCTGTAATCAGATATTTGGTTTTTATGCATTTACTATCTTCGCCCTATCTAGCGTGTGTCTTTATAAGTAGTCGAGTTGTTTTGCCAAATAATAGCCAAAGGGGGAGTTTGTTAGTGTTTTAATTGCTCAAAAAACCCCCAACATATAATTGGCAATATTATTATGGCAAACTAAGATAGGGTTAGCTTGGGTCGGTTTGTTCTACAGAAGACTAATTGATCAGATTCAACAACAGAAGGACTGACACTGAATATCTGTTTTACGAAGATGTTTCGTCATTGCAGAACACGGTTTAAAAAGTCTGTTTTGGAAAGAAGATCAGCATATCTGCTTTGGAAAGGTATGAACCGGATCTTTAAGATTACATTCTTCTTATATCGTCCTACCATCTACAATCAGAGGTATCTATGAAGAGTGTTCTTATATTGGAACTATAAGTACTCTTATTCAATCAAGAATTAGGGTTACGCTTTTGAGAAGAAAGAAAAACTCAAACATACACTAAGAGATTACATCTCTGATTATCATGACTCTTCTCAAGACAATTTGTTCTTGTTGATTATGATGAAGAACTTGAGAAGAGATATCGTTGCTTAAACGAAAAGGGCGTTAAGATCACATAGTTGTGGGAACAACGTTGGACTGCGTCATTGAAGTGGACTGCATCAGAGTTAGCTCTCCAAGTGAAGGGATTTCATTGGACTTCTGTATGCACGGCTCTCCATCTTCAACAATCCACTAAGTCAGTGTAGACTGGGTACTTACCTTGTGTGGGGCACTTGGGTGAGATTACTGTTCTCTACCTTTGCACATTTGATGATCTGTTAGTGGATTGGACGCCTATGTGATCATCCCCCAGATGTAGATACACACTGTATCGAACTAGGTAAACATCTTGTGTGTTGTTCCTTTCGCTGTCTTCCTTAGTTTTATCTTTCCGCAAGTTAACTAGTGTTTCAGCTATCTGACTGATATCATCGTTGAATCCGTCAGACTAATTCGTCAGTCTTTTAATTAATATCATTAAATTGAGAGATTGCAAAATTACATCATGAATACAACACCGCGTGACGTAGGCTCTCTTGACCCTGGTTTTGCCCAATGCATGTGAGCCACATACCGCCCATGCCGGAGGCCCGGGACTTATCCTGTAACACCCCAGATTTTCAAGATTTTTAAAACTTATATAATAAAGATACAATCTCATTAAATCCCAAAATACGATACAAAGAGTACGGGGTGCTATGCTACACCCGAGCTAGAGAACTCGGGTGCACAGGCTAAATTCTAAAACCTCAATCAGTATCAATACTAAATCATGGCACGCAGGCCGAAAGGGAAAACTATCTAAGCTACGCCCCAAGCTTCTAGCGCGCTCCAGTGATCTACTCATCTGTGCCTGAAAGCCAAATATATCTGTTCAGCGAGAGATGCTGGTAACCCACTCCAACGCGTTGAAATACAATACATAGATATATATATATATATATATATATATATATATATATATATATATATATATATATATATAGATATACGAAACCCATTTTGAACATGAAGATATATCCTACGAACTCTAGCTTTTAAAACAGGGATAGACTCAACAGATAGAGCTAAGCACAGACAGCAGTTATACCAAGCATATACAGTTTACAACAGGCAAGACAGATAAGATAAACACAATTAATAATCATAACCCAACATATACGATCCCCGGTATAAATCCCATAGTCTTATCCCCAAGATACTCATAACAACAACTCATCCATACTTCATCACATAGCACACTTTGATGGCGCCACAGGACCAATCGCATGCCCATACATGAGGGTCAGCGCATATAGCTCTGACACGGCCCCGCAGCACCCTGCCCCGTCTCACAGCACGGAGGGGTCGATCGCAACCGACCGATGAACCGCAGCTCTATATAATATTTATATACCTGACCGGTCTTTACCAGCCTGGTTAACAGTTGGGATGGTTCTCAACCCATTCAACTGTCCGTATAGTGGACCTTTGTCCTATATAATATTTATATACCTGACCGGTCTCTACCAGCCTGGTTAACAGTTGGGATGGTTCTCAACCCATTCAACTGCCCGTATAGTAGACCTCAGTCCTATATAATATTTATATACCTGACCAGTCTTTACCAGCCTGGTTAACAGCAGGTATGGTTCACAGCCCATCCGACTGCCCGTATAGCCCGATTGATCTCAACCAAATCGGGGTAACATGCACACATAACACATAGCAAGCACATGCAACCCACATTAACACATTGGGAAGGGGGAGAAAACGTATTACAAAACCTATGCGTGATCCTTCACATACTAAGAATAATCCTAAGGGGTTCATACTTCTTTCACCAAGGTCAACGGGATACCAATTCAACTAGCATGCAATATATAAGACTCATACAACCTACGAACGGTACCCGAAACATCAAACTAGACATAGGCACGATAGACGGAGTCCATTGGGACACCACGGGGGGTCGGGGGAACATCAAACGGGGAAGCCGGGATCCCAAAGTGTGGGAATTTCCAGCGGGTAACCGGTGGGTGGGGGTTCACCCGCCGGCTGCCCGCCGGTGTTACTGTTCCGGGCAGTGGGTGCCCGGCGGGCAGCTGCCCGCCCGCCGGCTGCCCGCTGCCGGTGCTGCCCTATTTGGTCGCGGGTAGGTGGCGGGTCCCCTACCCCCACCTATCCCCCACTGACTCTTTTTCACCAAAAATGCCCCAGGAACCTTTGTGGAACCCGAAACCATGCTTAGACACTTTCAAACGCAATTGACAGCACACGTAGACAATTAATAGATCAAAATCAAGAAACATACGGCACATAACCTATCATGCTTTTCTAAACATAATCAACACCCAATCATGCGAATTCCCACCCAATATACCAAGAATAATACCATACGAATTCCACGATATAACCTAGGGTTCTAATTATTTTTAAATTAACAAGAACACAATTCATCTTCCAAAATCAAGATTCGGTAGGAATATCATATAACTATCAAGAACCTCATATAATCATTAAGAACATCAAGAACACCATATAATTATCAAGAACGTCATATAATCATCAAGAACACCATAATTATCAAGAACATCTCCTCATCAAGATCACCCATGGAATCATCCCACCAATCATCAATAATCAATACACAATAATATGGGGAAATCCTAAGAGGGGAAACATAGCTATGAAAATAGGTTTTGTTGAGACATGGGTTACCTCTTAGCCTTAATTAATTCCTTGGCTATGAAGGGTCTTTCTTTAAGCCTTCTTCTTTCTTGATTTCTCCTAAGGGGATTCTTGGAACTTCTTGTGTGATGAGAGATTATGGTGGTGAAAGATCTAGGTGTCTCCTATATATCCCTATTTATATATTTAAGACTCCTAATTAGGGTCTGAATGGTATGGGTTTACTAATTCTATTCCTTATAGGACTAAGGGCTTATTTTAGGGATAAGGGTCCATGGTCCATAGTGGACCATATTAATTAATTAAAGGGAATCCTAATCGTAGTCTGAATAGTAAAAGGCCTACTTCCTTGATTCCTAATGAGTTAATGCCACATGGAGTCCTCCGAGTATAGTGGTTTTGCCACATTTAGTCCTAAACTTTCAAATTGACCATTTATGGTCCTTCGACTTTCCAATTTAACCATTCGTGGTCCAAGTTAACCACCCATGATCCTTCAACTTTCAAAATTTAACCACGCGTGGTCCTCTTGAAAGGACTATAGTTGGTTAAATTTTGAAAGTTGGAAGACCATGCGTGGTTAACTTGGACCACGAATGGTTAAATTTGAAAGTCGAAGGACTACAAATGGTCAATTTGAAAGTTTAGGACTAAACGTGGCAAGACCACTATACTCGGAGGACCTTAGATGGTAATAACTCATTCCTAATAGATAACTAGGTTTAGGATTCCTAATTAGAATCTGAATAGTAAACGGTTTACTTTCTTTATTCCTAATAGGCTTAGGACTCTAATTTAGGCAAGGGTCCACGGTTCATGGTGGACCTTATTAATTAATTAAAGGAAACCTAACCGAATTAAATCATTTTTAATTATTATTAACGGGATTAATTAAATAAGTAATCCGGGATTGAAGGCCGTAACACGGGGTGTTACATGTCCCCTTCTCACCCCCATAAATACAACAATTATTGCTATGTGGGGGGACTTTTGGAACGACTTTACATCCAGGCTACTTGACTAGAGACTCCCGACCCACTGTAAAAGGGTCCCGAGCTCTAGTGCTCGTATCGGATACTATACGCATACGCTCACATCTAACCCCAAGAGGGCGGAAAGCTCGCTCAAAATTGGGAAGGCCCCTATGTCGTCTCAGTAGTAATTCATCCCGGGACGTACATATTACAAACCACCACTGACAGACCGGTTGACCGAACATGGAATTCTGAGAACCTGGTGCTGTTTCATAAGTAAAGTCTTTTGGTTATAAATGATTTTTTAATTTCTTTTTCGGAATTGTAATTGGGGATCGGGAGTAGAGGGTAGAGAGTATGTACCGAGCCGCTGAATATGTAATTTCATTCTCCTAAAATTTGTAATCAAGGATCGGGGATAGTGGCTAGCCAAATGTACCCGTTCGTTGAATTCGTAATGTTATTGCTTCAGTTGTAACCTACGACTCTGATTTCAAAACCGCAGCGTGAATGTTTCCTCCCCCAAGATTTCAAGGCACGTAGACCGATTCATGCTCCGGTCTAGTACCAATGAGGACGGATGTCCAATCTACGACCACAATGTCGATAAACTTTAAGTTCCGGTCTTATACCGATG